GACCCCGCGCTGCGATGCGGCCTGTCCGCAGAAAGATAACATGCCGGTCGTTGAAGGTAGTCTTTTGTTTGAAAAAGATTGGCCTGACGAATGATCCAACCATAAGCATTGGTACGTACCGCAGTTGTGAGTACCATTTTCGGTGGATCCTCCTGTGCGGTCACGAAGCGTGTGAGGGGTGTGCTAAAGTGGCCCGTCGGCGGCATGCTGCCTTTTCCTCTGGGACTTTCGGTGGAGCTCCCCATGGGGCAACGAAACGTGCGAGGGGTGTGCAGAAATGGGGCTGCACCGACATGCGGACCCTGCCGCTGAGGCCTTCGGTGGTGCCGCCTCAAGTCACGCAGCGTGCGAAGGGTGCGGCAAAATGTGGGGTGGAACCGCGTGCGAACGTAGCCACTGGGGCCTTCGGTGGAGCTCCCTATTGGGCCACGAAGCGTGTGAGAGGTGTACCATAATGGGCAGGTGGCGGCATGCGGGCCCTGCCACTGAGGCCTTCGGTGGAGCTCCCTATGGGGCCACGAAGCGTTGTACTGGGTGTGCCGAAACAGAAACATGCGAAGGGCAGAGGCAAGGAGGGGGAGGAGGGAGGAGGGGGAGGAGGAGGAGGAGAGGAGAGGAGGAGACGCGGGGCGCTGTCTCTTCAAAAAGACGACCCAATACCACAGGATGGTTGGGAAACAGGAAGAATAACACATACAAGACAATCCCATATTCCAATCTACTTTAGGCGCCTCCCCACTTCAAGGATCGAGTAGTTCCTTTTTTCCCTCCTCTTCAGGGGGCGGGCAGCGATTCAACCTAATTCCAACGCCCTCCTACTTCATGCTTCTACCTACTTCTTCCGACCGACGGGTACCCAGGGAAATGTTTTTTCACGACGTTTACGCTAGAACGCATTGAGGCCTGAAAGAGATCTGATCCAGTGATGGCAAATTTCGTTCGATCCCTCAAGGGGCGCACACCCAGATATCGCCGGGCGCCTCGGAGCCAGCCAGAAACGTGGCTGCAGAGGTCTCGCGACGCTGCATCGTTTGTTGCACGCGCGCTCTTTCTTCAAAGGGTCGAACTCAGGGGTGCTGGCGGCAGTGATTTGTTGAAGTCCTCAGGCTGAGACACGATGAGCGAGGAAACCATGTGGAGGGTCCAAACAAACCCGTCCCCGTCCCCGTTCCCTCCCCCCCCTGGCGGGAACGCGCTGTCCCTCGCGCGCGAGAGCGTTCGCGGGCGGGGGCCACTGCACGGGCCCCGTGCCCCGAGCCACCCCGCGTCAGCAGGCAGTCATCCGAGTGCGCCGACCCCCGAGACAAGCCTGGGCAGGCAGCGAGCTGAGCTCCGTGCCCCGCCTCCCGACGGCCGCGGCGGCCTGTGGGGCTCCTCGGCGCGTCGTCCACGAGGCGCTGGGCGCTGCGCCCCGTCGTCGTGCACGGGCGCCAGGGCGGTCGCATCCGTTGTGCTGCTGGTCCGACAGTACCGTGGCGAAATCCTGGATGATGGTGGGCATGTTTGTTTCCACCACCACCACCATAAGTTGGAAGGGGGGAAGGAGATGGAGGATGAGGAGGAGGACGAAGAGAAGGAGGAGGAGGAGGAGGAGGAGGAGGAGGAGGAGGAGGAGGAGGAGGAGGAGGAGGACAAGGAGGAGGAGGAGGAGGAGGAGGAGGAGGAGGAAGAGGAGGACGAGGAGGAGGATCCCCTCCTTCAGACCCGGAGGGGCACTCCCATAAGCGGGATGTCGAGCCAAAGCGCCCCCTAATGCAGGCGCGGAGCATTGGGCTTTCGGGGTCCAAACCCCCGCGCCTCGGGGACGGTCCCCAAAACGGGGTTTCCTCCCCGGGGGGTTCGCCAGGTTCCTCTGCTCCGTCGGGGCGGCGCGGGGTTCCCTCCCGCATTCGCCGCCTCGGCGCGGGACCGGCGGTGCTTCTTCCATTGTCGGTCATGTCGTCTTCTGCCGCGGAGGGTGGGGGTTGCTGAGGGCCGGTGATCCTCGGCACCCCAACCGCTGCGGCGGATGTTCCTCGTGCTGGAGCTCTTCGCTCCCGCTCGCGCGTCCGCGATGGGCCGCGCGGCCGCTCTCGGCCGCTTGGGACTGGCGGCGTCCGAGTGCCCCCGCATTCGGCCGCCCATGATGGAAATCTGGAAATCAGGACCCATTCCCCCTCTTACTTATGGTGGTGGCGGTGTGAAACAGGCCCGCCATTGGAGGCGTGCCAGAGGGTCTCCAGCTGGCGTCTCCGGTCGCCGCGGTAATTGCTCAAGGCCCAGACACGCCTCCGCGTGCCGCAGCCAGATGGAGCTGCTCCGCACACCTTGTCGACCTCGCCCTCCTCCTTGCCCTTGGGCGCCATGTGCGCGGCAGGCTAAATCGCGCCGACAGGCTGACCTGCGGTACCGAGGTGCCTGCCTGTGCCGAGTTCCTTTGTGTCCGCTGGACAGTCTTGCGCGCCTTCCGCGACCGCCTGGATGACGACTTGCTCTGTGCGGTGGTAGGTTGCGAGAGCACCCGTCGACGCCATAGGGGTCGGTTCCCTCTGAGCTCCCGCGGAGGAGTGGCGGCGATACCGATTTCTTTGTGGCGCAGCAGGGTTCCCAGGCGGCGGATGAGGAAGCGGGAGGACTAGGAGGAGGAGGAGGAGGAGGAGGAGGAGGAGGAGAGAGGAGGAGGAGGAGGAGGAGGGGAGGAGGAGGAGGAGGAGGAGGAGAGGAGGAGGAGGAGAGGAGGAGGAGGAGGGGAGGAGGAGGAGGAGGAGGAGGAGGAGGAGGAGGAGGAGGAGGAGGAGGAGGAGGGAGGAGGAGGGGAGGATGGAGGGAGGAGGGGGAGGAGGAGGAGAGAGAGGAGAGGAGGAGGAGGAGGAGGATAAGGAGGAGGAGGAGGAGGAGGAGGAGGAGGAGGAGGAGGGAGGAGGAGGAGGAGGAGGAGGAAGAATAATTAATAATAACAAGAATAAGAAAAATAATAAGAATAATATTAATAATAATAAAATAAGAAGAAAAGAAAAGAATAAGAAAAAAGAAGAAGAATAAGAAAAATAGAATATAATAATAAAAGAAAATAAATAATAATAATAGGATAAGAGGAGGAGGAGGAGGAGGAGGAGGAGGAGGAGGAGGAGGGAGGAGGAGGAGGAGGAAGAGGAGAGGGGGGGGGGGCAGGGGAGGGGAGGGGGAGCGGGAGGGAGAGGGAGGGAGGGGGAGGGGTCTACTCCCGCCTCTCCACTTTTCCCATCCCCTGACCCCCGCCTTTAGTAGGCAAGCTCTGGAGGCGACGGGCCTGAAGCGTCAGCTCGCCTCCATCGAGGGTCCCTGGGGTCCGCTCCACCTCCCGCCTCCCGTTCCTTTTCCTCCTCCTCCTCCGCCCGTTCTTCCCCTTTCTCCTCCGCCTCCTCTCCTCCTCCTCCTCCTCCTCCTTTCCTCTCCTCTCCTTTCCTCTCCTCTCCTCTCCTCTCTTCCCCTCCCCTCCCTCTCCTCTCCTCTCCTCTCCTCTCCTCTCCTCTCCTTTCCTCTCCTTTCACAATTACACAATATGAATAATACTCTCCTTTCTCCCCTGGTGACGTCCAGGCAATATTTATTCGGCACCCCTCTGCGTATTGTTTTACACGCAGCATTCCCGGTAGTTTGTTTTCGTTTTTCGTTGTTGTTTTGTTTGTTGGTTAATGCTGCTCTCGCTGAAGCGCTGGCATCATGTTCGAGCTACCGCCCGTTCCGAATCGTGCTCCCGCTGCAGCGCTGGCGTCATTTCCGCGCTTCCGCTCGTTCCGAACCGTGCTCCCGCTGCAGCGCTGGCGTCATTATTTCCAGCGCCATGCCACGGCATGGTTTTCGGTCCTTCCAAATCGGCTCCCAAATCTAGAAAATGCCCCCCCCGAAAAAACCATCGGAAGTGATTACACATTCGGTGACGATTCGTTGATTCTTTCGGTCGCAGAAGCCCCCCCCCCACTTTGGGGCGTCGCCACGCCATACTATGGCAGGCTACGCGTCCTCCGAATCGTGCTCCCGCTGCAGCGTTGGCCTCAATTCCGCACTTCCGCTCGTTCCGAATCGTGCCCCTGCTGCAGCACTGGCGTCAATATTGTGCTGGCCTCCAGCCAGTGCCGCCGATCCTGGGCGCTTCTGATGATGATTAGGATGATGATGATGATGATGATGATGATGATGATGATGATGATGATGATGATGATGATGATGATGAAGATGATGATGCTGTTGATGATGATGATGATAATGATGAGGATCACGGTGATGATGATGAGGATGATAATGATGGTGATGGTGATGATGATGATGTTGATGATGCTGATGCTGATGATGGTGATGCTGATGGTGATGATAATGCTGATTAGGCTGCTGATGCTGATGATTCTGATGATGATGCTGATGCTGACGATGATGATGCTGAATTGATGATGATGATGGAATGATGGGGCTGATGATGATGATGCTGATGATGATGATGATGATGATGCTGCTGATTCTGATGTTGTTGTTGATGATACTTATTGGTATTAATATTTGTGTCATGATTGATATTCGTATTATATTTCGTATTCTTGCTATTACGTTTCATCGTATTATTGCTATTATCATTGCTAGTCGTATCACTATTATTCTTGTAACTATTATTACTATTACCATCATCATCATTATTATTAATGATATTATTATCACTACTATTATGCTTATCATGGTATTGGCCATGGGCCATCTTGGGGTCTTGGACTTATCGTTCGGTGATTCGGGGCTTTCTGATGCCGTCTTGAAGGCATCTCGGGGCCCTGTTGGCCCGTCTTGGGCTTCTCTCGGGCTCGAAAAAGTCATGCGGGAACAGTCTGGGGGCTCCAGAGGGCGTGCGGGGAGCCTCAAGAGATTTGAGAGCTTGGGGTCCGGGCCCATTCAAAATCTTCAGCCTTGAGGACTGAGGCTCAGGGGATTGAGCAAGGGACCCGGGGAAGCCTCTTGGGGGTCGTCTTGGGGCCTCTTGGGGCCTCTTTCGGGCCTCT